TTTCCCCATTCCTAACCCCTGCCATCCATTAATCTGTTTTCTATCTCCACAAATTTATTTGAAGAATGTTATAAAATGGAATCACATAGTATGTAACTTTTTGAAATTGACTTTTTTCACTCAATGTATTCTTGAGATCTATCCAAGTTGTTCAGTGTATCAATAGTTCCTTTCTTTCTCTGAGTAGTATTCCATGTTATTAATGTACCACAGTTTAACCATTCATTTGCCAAAGGACATTTGCATTGTTTCCAGTTCTTGGCTATTACAAATAAGGATGCAATGAATATTTGTGTACAGGTTTTTATATGAACATTAGTTATTTCTCTGGGCTGTATGCCCAAGGGTGCAAAAGCTGGAATATATTGTAAGTACATGTTAATTTTGTAAGAAATTGCTAAATTCTTTTCAGAGTTGCTATACCATTTTACATTTCCACTAGGTAGGTATGAGTGATCTAGTTTCTCTACATCTTTGCCAGCATTTGGTGTTAATCAGTATTTTCTGTTTTGACTGTTCTGTTAGGTATGTAGCAATATTTCATTGTGGTTTTAATTTTTATTTCCCTAATGGCTGAGGATGTTTTGTGTGCTTATTTGCCATTTATATGTATCTTTTTCAGCAAAATGTTTATTCATGACTTTTGTCCAATTTTCTAATTGGATTGTTAGGTTTTTTTTACTGTTGAGTTTTGAAAGTTCTTTATATATTATAGATATGTTCTTTGTTGGATATATGGTTTACAACTTTTTTTTACCCCTAGTCTTTAGCTTGTCTTTTCATTCTCTTAATAGGGTCTTTTGCAGAGCAAAATTTTTTAATTTTGATGAGGTTCAAGTTATCAGTTTTTCCCTTTGTTAATTGTGTTTTTCTTGTCAATTCCGAGAACACTTGACCTTGCTACAGGTTGTGAAGGTTTTCTCTTAACGTTTTTTCTATGCCTTAATTTTTTTTAATTTTTACATTTAAGTTCATAATCCATTTTGAGTTAATTGAGGTTGAGGTTGAGATGGTTTTGTTTTTGTTTTTTGTTTGTGCCTGTGGATGTGCTCAGTTGCCCCAGCACCATTTGTTGGAAAGGAGTCACATCTTTTTTTTTTTAAACTGTATAAAGTGACCTTTTTCTAGTTTGAAGATTTTTTAAAAAAATTTGACTTTTGGGATTTTAAGACCACAACCCTTGTTTTATTTGCATTTGCCTTCTGTACCTTCGTCTGTGGTTTTATTTTTCAACCCTAAAAGACATTTCATTTTAGATGTGTTGTCTATTTTTATTATAGAGTTGGGTTTTGTGTAGTGATACAGTGTGAAGGTCTTTTTCTTTTACCTTAGTGAGTTTAGCCCACTTAATATTTATTGATATGAAAGAAGTTGGTCTGTTTTGAAACAATTTTTTTTTTGCTTTTAGTTTTTATAATTAATTAAAACCTTTTACTGTGTGGTATATTTACTTTGGGTCAGTTATTTATAGGTTGTATGAGTAAAAAGGCATGTCCTCCTGTGTTCCAGGCTAACTAGAACTTTCCTTATGATTCACGATTTTGTGTGTGAATTTGTTTAGCTGTTATCTTTTCCCAGCCAATGGGGCTAGGCATTTTTTTTTAATAATAAAAAACTTCACCCCCAACGCCCTTGCCGTAGAAACAGAATGCTCTTTATAAATAGGGTACTTCTGAATAATTGCTGTTTGATTTCTGCCTTCTCTCTTTTCTTATTGGAACCAAACTGAGGAGTTTCTGCCTGTAGCTGTGCATCTTGTTCCCATTGTTAGAAACACGGGTTTTATGTTGTACACTTGGAAAAGTTTACCTTGCTACCTCTTTGTGAAATACACAGTTTTCTTGTTTTGCTTCCACTTTTTGGAGCCCTTGTATGATAATCTCCATTGCTTTTGAGAGTGCCTCCACATATTCTTATGGTTGAGTTTTAGTTATATCTCTGTTTTATCAGAGAAGGAGTTTGCATTTTTATTTTGTTCTCCTTGTTGATTTGGATTATTTTTAAGAAGAGAAGGGGGAAGTGGAGTTTATGTCACTATTCTCTTACTAGATGTTAGTAATAGTAATAGTATCTTTAATACCTTCATTATCTTCACAAAGCATGTTGCTATATTTTAATACATTTTTAATTACTGAGAGAGTAAAACTTTTGTTGGGTTAACTAAAATGGATTCCTGAAATACTTTAGTTCTTTTTCTAAATTTTACTTAAAAATACAAAAGGGCTAGACATGATGGTTCATGCCTATAGTCCCAGCACTTTGGGAGGATGAGGCAGGAGGATCGCTTGAGGCCAGGAGTTCAAGACCAGTTAGGGCAACATGGTGAGATCTTCTCTCTACAGAAAAACAACACAAAGAATTTCATTTTATTTAGCTCTAAAGAATAATACATTCTCTATGTTTTATCTTTTCAAGTTGTGAAGACTTGACATATAGAAATGTCTGTTGTTTGATAGCTCATGTTATTCAGGAAGAATTCTGATAAAAACCAGAGGAAGAGTTTATTGTCCACAGAGGGGATTTAGTGAGTTTTATTTTGAAGAGAGTATATTTCAATTTTTGTAGTATTTACACTTTGACAATCATATGTGCTTTAAAAAAAGTATCTACTCATTTAAGCATATTTATATATTTCCTACAGAATTCTTGTCACTATCTCTGCAATTCCATCTTTTTTGTCCCCTGTTTTCTTTATGATTTTTAAAAGTCTTCTCTTCCAGCGTGTTACTACATCAGTGGGTTTGCAGTGGAGAAGTAATATGAGACTTTTCTCTTATTATAGGATTCTTGAGGGTTATGAGCATTATGCTTAACCTATTCTCTTATCTCCCTTCCCTTGATAAGAACAAAGCTTGGTGTTTTTGTACTTTTATGTAATGTCTAAGTGCCATATAGGAATCTGGTGCTAGTTATTTGGTGTTTTCATGTCACAAAAATAAATCATCACAATATAAAAAAAGTGTATTATCTATTTCTGTGTAACAAATTGCCCCAAAACTTAGTAGCTTAAAACAACAAATGTTTATTATGTCTCAGCTCTCGAGGGGCAGGAATATTAGGAGCAGCTTAGCTGGGTAGTCCTGCCTCAGGATGCTTTGTTCTTACATAAATTGCAGTTAAGCTGTTAGTCGGGTCCACAGTCATCTCAAGGCTTAACTAAATCCACACAATCACTGTAGATAAAGTCATTGCAGATCTTTAACCCCTCTGCTGTTATCCAATCTCCAGCTCACTGCTAGATATTTTATTTCTTTTTGCCATCATTAGCAATGGTATTTGCAATCCCCTGACTTTCTTCATGCTGTTCTTGTGTTCCTTTTGCTGTTTCCTTGAGGTCTTTTTCTTTTCATATAGGGTGTTTATTTGGCAAGCCTGTGTTTAGTTTCCTTTTTCTTTGTATAATCAAAGGATTTATAAATCATGTCAAAGACAGTTGTCTTGCCACCACTAAAATGGGTTCTGAATTCAAATCCCAATAAGGTATCTGGTGTGTTCTTAACTCATTTTGGCTGATTTTTTTCCTAATCTACTTCTAAATCCACACAGGCAGCTGTTAGCAGGCATCAGTTCTTTGCTGAGTGTTTACCACAGACCTTTCTTCCTTACTGCACGGACCTTTTCATAGACTTCTCTGATTGTTCTTATATCATGACACCTACTAATCCAAGAGAGAGAAGTGAAAGAGGAGGCCCAAAATGGAAGCTGTAGTCCTTTATAACTTAATCTGGAAGTGATATACTATCACTCTGCCATGCACAGACCAACACTGGTGAGAGAGGACTGCATAATGGTGTGAATACCAAGAGACAGGGATCACTGGGGACTACTTGCAGGTTGACTCCCCAAAATAGCAATGCTATATTTTGGAGTAAAGGACTAATCTTCATACTTCTGAATTTATTTCCAGTACAGTGGATTCTCTGTAAAAGAGATACAGTGTATTTTTAAAGATGATGAATAATGTTTATATACTTATTTCTGTTGCCGGGGCTGGAGTACAGTGGCATGATCTTGGCTCACTGCAACCTCCTTCTCCTGCATTCAAGTGATTCTCCTTCCCCAGCCTCTTGAGTAGCTGGGACTATAGGCATGTGCCACCACTACAGGCTAATTTTTGTATGCTTGTTAGAGATGGGGTTTCACCATGTTGGCTTGGCTGGTCTCGAATGTCTGATCTCAGGAGATCCACCTGCCTTGGCCTCCAAAAGTGCTGGGATTACAGGCGTGAGCCACCATGCCCAGTCTTATGTAATTATTTCTACCATGTTCTATGGAGAATAAGTATTTTATTATGTTTACATTGAATTTAAGAGACTACCCTGACAAGTTTACAGTGATGATTATTCATTTAGTTTAATTCTTTTAATTCATTTGATGTCTTACTAATGCAAGTTCTGAAGAATTATCCTTATAAAGTATTTGGAAGGAGATATTTAGCTAATTTTACTTATCAAGGATTTATTTGAAGGTAAGGTTTTTTTTTTATTTTTCCCAGATAGCTTAATCTCTTAGAGTAGAGACTATCCCTCTAATGTTAAATAATAGGGAAGGAGTAGCAACTTAACATTTGTATAATGCTCTTATATTTGTAAAAGCATTTTTCATTAATGTGTGGGAATAGACAAATTAAGTTTTTGGAATTGATGCTTGCTTGGTAATAAGGGATTCTAATACTGTTCTCAATCTTTTGGGGGGTGCATAGATCCCTTTCAGATTGAATGAAAGCAATAGTCTTTCCAGAGAAATGCACTTATGCACACAAAGGTAATTTTGCAGTTTAAGGGGATCATCAGAAGGTCTGTGGACTTTAGGTTTAGAACTCTTTCTTTGAAAGCACAGTTTCTAAAGTTCTCAGGCAGAAAGAAGTGCTTTTTGGTTTTCTTTATAAAAGGAAACAATGTACCTAACTCTAATTTGAAATACATGTTTTCATTTTACATGGCTTCTAATTCACTTTTTCTAATGATAGTTTGTGTTTCTTAATTTTGCTTTCCCTTTAGCATCTGGAGCATAAGAACAGTACTTATTTTCTTCTTTTCCAAGAGAACAGAAAGAAATAGTAAGTTTAATTTCAATTTTTAATAAATACTTTAAAAATACCTATCTTAGAGTGTACTGGTAAGACAAGCTGTAAAATAATATATTGGAATGATAATGTGGTAAATATTGAAGAGTTATAAATCATGAGAAAGGTTATAAATGATCAAGATGGTTCTGTTTTTAATTTGTGTTATTTCCATCTGGTTCAATTAGATGGTTTTTTACACAAAACAACCATTTTTAAAAAAAATTTGAGACAGAGTGAGGGGGATGGAAAGAGCCTTTTGCCCAGGCTAGAGTGCAGTGGCACCATCTCGACTAACTGCAACCTTGACCTCCTGGGTCAAGCGATTCTTGTACCTCAGCCTCTGGAGAAGCTGGGATTACAGGCGTGTGCTACCACACGCAGCTAATATTTTGTATTTTTATAGAGACAGAGTTTCGCCATGTTGTCCAGACTGGTCTCAAACTTCTGAGCTCAGGCAATCCTCCTGCCTCGGCCTCTCAAAGTGCTAGGATTGCAGGTGTGAGCCACAGCACCGGCTGAAACAAACATTTTTAAATAAAGAGAATTTATATTTGTTAAATTAATCTTTATGGAAAACTTAGTTTGTTACAGACTTTTGTTTCGTTTTTACCTCAACCTGTATTTTTACCCCATATATTATTTTGAAGTATATCCCAAATGTGTCTATTTTCATACATACAAAAGAATTCTTAATATCATAAAATATTAAATATAAAAATACTTTTCAGTTGTCTCATGAGTATCATTTGCTTTTAAAAAATTTTGTTTGACTAAGGATCCAAATAAAGTTTTTACAAATATTGGCCGGGCACGGTGGCTCAAGCCTGTAATCCCAGCACTTTGGGAGGCCGAGGCGGGTGGATCACGAGGTCAAGAGATCGAGACCATCCTGGTCAAAATGGTGAAACCTCGTCTCTACTAAAGGTGCAAAAAATTAGCTGGGCATGGTGGCGTGTGCCTGTAATCCCAGCTACTCAGGAGGCTGAGGCAGGAGAATTGCCTGAACCCAAGAGGCGGAGGTTGCGGTGAGCCGAGATCGCGCCATTGCACTCCAACGTGGGTAACAGGAGCGAAACTCCGTCTCAAAAAAAAAAAAAAAAAGTTTTTGCAAATATTAATATATGCTTTCAAATTGCCCTCCTCACTCATGACCTGTCTTCTTTTCTGCTCACATTAGGTGCTATAATCGACCCCAGTGCCTGTGTCCTTGCTGATACTCTTGACCCTTTTGCTCCTCCTTCTCGTCCTACTTACCTGTGAAAGCCTACCCTCTTTAAATATGATTATACGCCTAATCAATGACTAGCAAAACAGTATTCTTATTAAATACGTTTACAGGTTAATCTCATTGAAGCAGCTAAACTTGTTAGAGGAAAATCATATAATGTGTTCACCTCACCAGACTTACTTTAAATCTATGATTGCAAATATCAAATATGTACTTAAAACTGCTTTATGGTTCTGTTGTAATTCTCCAGTAAATTCATCTTTTTCTCTTTCAGCTTGATGTTTGTTATTGCATTTCTGCTCAAATCACTAATACCTGCCTCCCTACCAAAAACCAACAATCAAATCTAACCAAACTAAAACCCACCAGCCAACCAAATAAAAAAAAAATCAAAAGTTACACAAACAAACAAAAAAACCCACAAAATCTACCTGGTCACTCTTTACCTATAGTTTTACTTTATACAGAAAATAGATGTGAACAGATGAGAGCTACCTACACCACCAACTGCAGTTGTCCTTCAGTATCTGTGAGGGATGGTCCCAGGACCCTCAAGAATAAAAATGGTATAGAATTTGGATGTAATCTACACGTCTTCCACATACTTTAAATCATTTTTAGATTACTTATAATCTCTAATATAATGTAAATGCTATAAAATAGTTGCTATACTGTATTACTTTTAAATTTGTATTATTTTTTATTGTTGTGTTGTTATTTTTTTCTGAATATTTTTGATCCATGGTTGGTTTAATTGTCATGAGTGCTGAACTCATCCACATGGAGGGCTGACTGTATACTCTGTACTCATTATGGTTTCATCCTTCATTGTATTTTGAAAGACTGGCCTTGATCTTACCTATGGCTAACTGTCATTTATGCTCTGGATTCTAAATACTTTGGCTATCTCCAGAGCTTTGCTCTTGTAGTTATCTCCTGTAGTTATCATCTCTTTTGCATCATTTTCTATTTTATTATTCCTATTGGTATATAATCCTGCCTCAGTATGACTATTTGGGGGTGGGGGAACCTCCCCTGACCCTGCATTTCTGTTAAGCTACCACCAATTTCTCTTTCTTGTTCAAAACAAAGTTTCTTAAAAAATTGTTTATAGTTGGTAGCTCCTCTTTTCCACCCACTTATTCCTTCTTAGTATACGTTGTTTAGGTTTTGTTTCTACCGTTTTTTACTGCAGTGGCTCATTTCAAGGTCACTCATTAACTATGTCTTGTCAAAGCTAGTACTCAGTTCTCTTTTCTCATCTAGCTTAATCTCTTAATAGCATTTGAATTAATTCAGTTATTCACCCTTTTTCTGAAAAATTTTTATCTTTAAACTTCTTTGACAACACTTCACTGGTCATTTCTTTTTAGTTTTATTTGCTTTACTACTTCTACTAGAATTCTGCCTTTGATGTTTTTTGATAACTTGTTTGAGTCTGTGCTGTCTAATAGAACCTTCTATGATGATGAGCATAATCTTGTATGTACTGTTCAATATGATATCTGCTACCCATTTGTGACTGTTGAGCACTTGAAATGAGGCTAGTATAAATGAAGAACTGGATTTTAAATAGCTTAAATTTAAATAGCCCCATGTGGCTACTGGCTACTATTATTACATTAGACAGTGCATCTCTAGATGATTTTATTCACTTCCACAGATTTAAATATTGTCTATTTGTTAATGATTCCCAAATTTTAATCCTTAGTCCGGACTCTTCCCTTCAGCTATAGACTTGTATAGCTAACTATATAATTGACATTTCCACTTAGGAGTGTAGCAGGCATCTCATGAGTAAAATGGCCAAAAGAGAATTAATATTGCTCCTCCCCTTTATTCCCACTCATATCTGCTTTTCCCTTTGTCTTCTCCATCTCAGTAAATGCTTACCCTATATGATGAATAGTTAAAACTTGTTTTAGTTAGGGTTCTCCAGAGAAACAGAACCAATAAGAAATATTATGAGGAATTGGCTCATGCAATTGTGGAGACTGAGAAGTCTCAAGATCTGCAGTTAGCAAGCTGGAGACCCAGGAGGGCCAATGGTTTAGTTCCAGTCTAAGTCTGAAGGCCTGAGAACAAAGAGAGCCACTAAGTGTAAGTTCTAGTTTGAAAGCTAGCAGGTTCAAGACCCAGGAAGAGCTGATGTTTCAGTTTGAGTCTGAAGGCAGGAAAAGATAGATATCTTTGCTCAAGGGAGTCAGACATGGGGTGTTCACACTCATCGGAGGGAGGAACAAACTTCTGTTCGGGCCTTCAGTTGATTGGGTGAGGGCCACTTCATTAAGGAGAGCAATCAGCTTTACTCAGTCTATGGATTGAAATGCTAATCTTACCCCAAAACAGCCTCACAGACACCCAGAATGTTTGACCAATTATCTAGATACAGATCTGTATGGCCTAATCAAATTAACCATCACAAGACCAAAAATCTAGGAGCCATTTTTGATCTTCTTTCATATTCAGTCATGTTACTGGCAAGTCATATAATCTTTACCTCCAAAATTATCTTGAATCTGACCAGTTCTCACCTTTACCACTACAGTTCTAATGAATTATCATCTCTTGGTTGCACAACTGCTTTCTCACTAGTCTGTTTTTAAAGTATACATCAGACCTTTGGGTCCTTTGCTTAAAATTCTCTAATAGCTTCCCAGAGCAACCAGAGTGAAATCTGAATTCTTACTCCTCTGACTTTCTAGCTTATTCCTGTTTCTCCAACCTCTTCTTTCACTCTCCTTTATTCACTTTTGCTCCAGGCACACTCAGCATCTTTCTGTACTACAAACAAGTTCCCTGAACCTTACAGATTATTTTTTCTTTTTCTTTCTTTTTTTTTTTTTTTTTTGAGATGGAGTCTCACTCCATTGCCCAGGCTGGAGTGCAGTAGCATGATCTCAGCTCACTATAACCTCCACCTTGTGGATTCAAGAAATTCTCCTGCTTCAGTCGCCCAAGTAGCTGGGATTATAGGCACCCACTACCATGCCCAGCTAATTTTTTTGTATTTTTAGTAGAACCGGGGTTTCACCATGTTGGCCAAACTGGTCTCTAACTCCTGGCCTCAAGTGATCCGCCCACCTCAGCCTCCCAAAGTGCTGGGATTACAGGCATGAGCCACCGTGCCCAGTTGAAATTTACAGCTGCTTAATTTATAAAATGGAAACAAAGAATGAGTAAGACATAGTATTTGATAGCACAATAGGGTAGCTATAGCCAATAATAACTGTACATTTTAAAATAAAGAGTGTAAATGGATTGTTTGCAGTTCAGTGGATAAATGCTTGAGGGGTTGGATACCTCATTCTTCACGAAGTGCTTATTTCACATTTTACATTGTATGCCTGTATCAAAACATCTCATGTACCTCATAAATATATATAGCCACTATGTACCCACAAAAAATAAAATGAGAACAGAAATAATTAGTTTTAGTAGCACTGTTAAAAGTAGTAAATGTAACTATATATGAAAGCATATAAAAATTGGGAAGTGTTAAACAAATGTGAGCTAATGGCACTGATTCTTCTTTTATTTTTCTTGAGTAAATGGGTTAGGACCCAGTACAATATTCACTTGAAGTGGGAATAGCAAGTGTCCTTGTCTAGTTCCTGATTTTAATGGAAAAGCTTTTAATATTTTACCATTAAGTGTGATGTTTGCTGTAGTTTTTAAAAAATATTAATGTTTTTTATCAGATTAAGGAAATTTAAGCTTCTGATATTGTTTTTGGTGATAGTAATATAGCAGATGGTGGAAGAATAGCATAATTTTAAAGCAAACACACTTTTTGACTTCAAGGAATAGCAAGATAGTAAAAAAAATATAAGAAACCCTTTTCAAGAGTCTTCTGGAACACGAAGGAAATCAAATATATGAATATTTTTAACTTATATAATAGGCAGATCTGGATGTGGTTATTAAAGGGATTTTTTTTGCCTTAAAATATATTTCAGAGGTTCTTTTTGTTTTTAATTGTACTGATTCATTTGAATAGGTATTACATGTGTGTTTAAAATCACTTTATAGAAGATTGTCTTGCAGTCACATAGTATTTTTTTAAGCCTGAAACTATTGGTCCTGTCCTTGTTTTTTGTTCTCGATTAGTTTTATTTCTTTTGTTTTACAGGTTGGACCCTGTACAAATTAAAGCAGGGATTGGCGGCTGCAGGCTGTAAGCCAATTCTTGCTCGCTGCTTTGTACAGCTCATGATTGGCTTTTATATTTTTTAATTATTGCAATATTAAAATGAATAATATTTTGACATGTAAAATTTACATGAAATTCTAATTTCACCTTTTATTGGAACATAGTCTTACTGTCTTTAGCTGCTTTCATCCTACAATGGCAGAATTGAGTATCCATGACAGACTGTATGTGGTGCTCTCATCAGGCACTTGTAGTACTAATTGTTTCATCATTTCAGGCACTTATAGGAGTAATCATTTCATCATTTCAGATTGTTGTATGACCAATTCAGTTATAACTTGACAGCATTTTTATTTTTTATTTTATTTATTTATTTATTTATTTATTTATTTATTTTTGAGACGCAGTTTCGCTCTTGTTACCCAGGCTGGAGTGCAATGGTGCAATCTCGGCTCACTGCAACCTCCACCTCCTGGGTTCAGGCAATTCTTCTGCCTCAGCCTCCTGAGTAGCTGGGATTACAGGCACGCACCACCATGCCCAGCTAATTTTTTATATTTTTAGTAGAGACGGGGTTTCACCATGTTGACCAGGATGGTCTCAATCTCTTGACCTTGTGATCCACCCACCTTGGCCTCCCAAAGTGCTGGAATTACAAGCATGAGCCACCGCACCCAGCCCATGACAGCATTTTTAAAGTGTCACGTGTATTGTTGTACTGTGACAATTATATTTTTATTACCCGTGCATATCCATCACGTAAAAACCAGAAGAGAAAAGTGAACTTTGAATGTTGCACTTTTAGTATGTAATGGAATGTGGACTATTTTGTTATTAAAATGCAAAGCATTCTACTTTTTATGCAATGATGTTATAGCTGTGCTAAAATAGTACAATATGTATTGACACTACCATACTAACTATGAATCATATTCCCAGCTCACAGAAAGCAATGAATACAAAAATTAGAAAATTTTAAATAGAATATTTAAATTTAAATATTTAAATAGAAATTATTGCAGAATTTCTTCATAAAACTGAAAGGGAAAATGGGGCTTTAGCCAAAGGAAATTTCTGAGTGACTTGTTTGTGAAAAAAGGAAAGCCATTTACCAGTGATGAGTTAATCGTTTGCTGCAGCAGAAGAAATGTGCTCAGGGAAAATATACTTAAGACTAGTAACGTTTCAGCAAGAACAGTTGCCTAAAGAATTGAGAAAATTCAGAAAAAGAAACATGAGTAATCTGTTAAAGAACAAGACAAATGATTTCAAGTAATCTTCATTGGCTGTTTTGTTGAGTTGACAGATGTTATCAGTACCTCTCCATTGTAGACTGAGTTGTCAACACTGAGCTTGAAGTGACTGAAGAATTAGTCTCTATAAAAAGTTTTTGCAGAACAACTTTAGGTGAGAATATTTTCAATAAAGTTTAGAAAACAGCAGTTTACTACAGCCTGAAGTGGAATCTGCTAAGATGTACTGTAAGTACTGGTAGTAAAAATATGTATATAGTAGAAAAAGACTTAGTTGTACACATTGTACAACACTCTTGAAACTGTAAGGTGTTTAAATTCTGTGGTTATTCATTGTATTATTCAACAACAGGTACTTTACAGAACATATTTGAATTTGTTGTTGTGTAGTGCCAAGGGGAATTTTGTTGCTCTCATGGACTTAACCATTGTCAGTTATGTGAATTTTAATCAGGAATAGAGGCTGACTATCTTGACTTGCCTCACAGCAGTTTATGGCTTAGCAGTGATAAAGATTTATAGTGATATTTTGAGCTCAGAATCTAGACTGAAATACTTCTGAATGAGAAGAACCAACTTTAGCTACTGTGTTTGAACACTGACTGGCTTTGGAAATTAGGTTTTGCTACAGACTTGATAATGGTTCTTAATTAATCCAACCTAAGATTGCAAGGCAAAACAATGTATATATGCAAAACCTATGATGTGGTAAAGTCATTTAGAAAACAACGTTGTAATGACAAGTAATCTTTTTAAAAGTGCTATAACAATGAAAACAAGAAGCAAGGTCACCATTCCCACACAGATTTGCAGCAAATACATTATCTGAGCTGAAATTATAGTTCCAGTAGAATTTTTCAGACCTCAATGCAAGTGCAAAGGAAATTTCCATGTTTCTAAATCCATTTCACTGTATAATTGAAGAGCTTCAGTCTTTGATTGGAAGTGATTAACTTCCAATGTAATAACATTCTTAAAGGCAAATGCCAAGAGAAGAATCTAATAGAATTTTATGAATGCCTTCCAAACTAGTGAATATGCTCAGTTAAAATCATGTGCTTGTGGATTGATATCAGTATTTGGCAGTAATTACCTGGGTGAGAAGACATTTTAAAAGATCAAATATGTAAAATCTCATTACAGATCAGCATTAATGGGTTATCATTCACGGTCCGTTTTGATGATATAGAACACTTAGCTTTGAACCTCAATTAACCAAAATATTTTTTCAACACCTCTCCACTGCTCCGCCCAAAGTATTCCATTCTTTTTACTTGTAGACTTATATTACAAAAAATTGAACTCAATTATTATGTAGGTTGAACATTCCAAATCTGAAAATTCGAAATCTGAAATGCTTCTAAATCCAAAATTTTTTTGAGTGCCAATGTGATACTCAAAGGAAATGGTCCTTGGAGCATTTTGGATTTTAGATTTTTGGATTTGGAATGCTCAGCTGGGGTATATTCTGCAAATACTCCAAATTTAAAAAAATCTGAAATCTGAAACATTTCTAGCACCAAGAATTTCAGATAAGAGATACTCAACCTGTATTTGAATTTAATCAATAAAGTTTTGTGGATATTTTGTATTTATTTTGTACTTTTTAGGCTGGGCACAGTGGCTTATACCTCTAATCCAGCACTTTGGGAAGCCAAAGCAGGTGAATCACCTGAGATCAGGAGTTTGAGACCAGCCTGGCCAACATGGTGAAACCTTGTCTCTACTAAAAATACAAAAATTAGCTTGATGTGGTGGCACACACCCCTAATCCCAGCTACTTGGGTGGTGGAGGCATGAGAATTGCTTGAACTCTGGAGGCAGAGGTTATAGTGAGCCGAGATCACACCACTGCACTCCAGCCTGGGTGACAGAGCAATATCCTGTCTCAAAACACAAAAAATACAGGTTTGATTTTGCTTTTTGGCCCATAAAGCCCAAAATACTTTTTTCTTTACAGAATAAGTTTGCTGATACCTGGATCAAAGTACAGATGTTTGTCTTCGTCTTATCTAACAAAAAATTACTGTTTTCTTTAAAGATGTTAGCAGATTTTGCACCCTTTTAAAAAGTAGTAAGTTAGCTAGCATATTGAAGACTACTTAATCTATTTTGAAAAACATTTTTATAGTAAAATCATCTTTTTATATATGTGAATTTTTACATAAATGATGTACTTTGAATTTGGTATTCAGGTGTTTGTTACCTAGAATGTCAGTGAAAAGAAGTAGTAATTTTATTTATAAATTTAATTAAGAATAATTATTTACATTTCATTTAATAACACATTCAAGTCATAAGTTCTTCTTTCCATATGGAATAGTTTCAATTTATATTAGTTAAATATTTCTAGAGAAAAACTAGAAACTTAAATAAATTTGTAAACCAAACATTGACATTTGTAAAAGATCTCCTCTGAGATGATTGTTTCTGTTCCACCATGCCAATCTATATAAGCAAATTTTAGAAATGTTTAATTTTGAAAAGTTATTAGTGTTCCTTTCCATGTCCCTTCTCAGATGTAATGTGATAGATTTTGAAGGTTTTTTTTAAAAAAAGTATTGCTTAATAGTTTCAGGGTTGACTAAATAAAACATGTACTTATTTCCTTATAAACCAAGAAAACATTTTTATTACCAGGGTATAAAAAGAGATTTGATACTGATTTTGTAAATTAATGCAGGTGGGGTATTGAAAAAGAAATAATAGAAAGTAGTGTTTCTGAAAACATTAAAAAATATGTATAATATATATATTTCAATTTAGAAAGGTGCTTTATGCTATGTAAAGTCAATTTTTTTTCCTAAATGGCTTGTAATATATAATCCAGGCAAAAATATGAAATATATGTGGGTGAAGATTGAGATAATTTTTGTCTTTACACATCAGTTAAATTTTGAGAAATCCTAAAATGAGGTTTTCTTATGTTTGCTACTGTTGTGTTTGGCATGATTTTTTCCTTATATCTAAGTATCTTAATATTTGATTTAGCTTTGATTTGAATCTTGTTTTCTAGATGAAGCACTGGATGATTTAAAGTCCCAGAGGAAAAAAATAGTAAGTTAACTTTTATTTAAAATTAATTTATATTAAACAAATAAGAACGGGATAATTAATGTTTATGTGTATAAGTTAATAACTCTCCAAGAACAAGTATGCTTTTAGATAGCATTTTAATGATGAAGTGAAATTGTGAATATTTTTGCTAGTTAATAATGATTGACAGGAAAAAGTAGTTTAGAGGGATTTTTGAGATTCTGAGAATTTATATCAGTTGGAAGCTGAGAAATAAGTAAATGAATCATATTGGAGGCCTAAATGATGCAAAGAGGGTAAAAAGGTGGATACCCAGATTGTTTATTAGAGCTAAAAAAGGACCAAATATCTCTACAAGTCAGTTCTCAAGTTTTCTTAACACCAAGAAAGAGAGGGAATCAAGAAGACTGGTTGTAAGAGAGAAATTCAACATGAAAATACTGAAGAAGAGATGGGCGGGGCGGGGAGAGAGAGAATTGTTTTCCACGTTTTCTACTTTCTGTCAGTAACTCTGATCACATTGATATCTATTGTGGAGCTAGTTGATGCATCCCTTTGGATGTGTTGGAAAGAGGGCCAAGAGTAAGACAGGAGGAGCTCTAGCTGTTGATATATAGTAGTCTGTAATAAGTGAATTGAAGTTGGTATTTGACATAGAGTTCCTTATTTTTTATATGATTATTTTTGAAGTATGAAAATGATAACTGCTGATAGTATAATGTTGTATAGAAATGCATTTAATGAAATTTAGTCAGGTGCAAATGATCAATCAATGTATTTTAGTCTAGTATGTAACAAGTAATAATTATGAAACCAATATTATGAAGTTTAAAATTAATGTTAAAAATTTTTCTGTGAATTGATGATAAAAGAGACTGGTCTTAAGGGCTTTAAGTACCTGAAAAGTAAGAGAAATATTTAATTTTAAAAGGATTCCTTAGCTTTATTTGTTTGCTCCTTATTCAGTATACTATGAAGTATTTATCAAAATTGCATTGGCAATTTTGGTGGTCCAAGTCGAAACACAGAAATATCTTAGTATTATGTTTCTGCTATTCTGCACATTATGGAACAGCCAGAAATTCAAAGTGAGGAAATACTGATGGTCTCAGTGATTTAGAAGTTGTGATATGATTGGTTTGACTTGCTGATGAGACAAAAAGAAGAGCTGGTACTGGTGATCAGAAACAAGTCCTGCTTATACCAAAATGGCAAAGTATTAAAGTAGAAAAGATGAAGAAGAAGACAAAATAAAAGCAGAAAAGAAAAAAGTCCTTAGTGATAAGAAGCAGCCCGGTGCTACTGACATCACATGGCCAGAAAATAGGATCTTGAAGAACATATGATTTTGGAAAATCTTTCAATAGAGAAACAGAGCCGACTTGGAAAATTGTGTGAAAAGACAAGTCAAGCTATTTACTACTTTTTAAATAGCCTTTAAAGAAATCTCATCATAAAAGATGTTCCATTTTAAGTCTGACAACAGTTGGGAAAGTTCAGAGTTCACTAGCTCTGTATGTTTCAATGGTTCATTAGGCCTCAGTATTAATAATTCAGTATGGCATTTCTTTTGCAGTATGACTAAAGAAAAGTAAGTTGGCGCTAATTTATTAATTAAACACAATTTGCATTTACTTGGTTATAATACTGTTTGCTACTGGAACTAGTCTGTGGTCAAGCCCTTAACTTAGCTACTTTGTTTGAGTAGTTTTACACTTTGGTTTATTTATTTTTGAGCTGGAGTTTTGCTCTTGTTGCCCAGGCTGGAGTACAATGGTGTGATCTCGGCTCACTGCAACCTCTGTCTGCCAAGTTCAAGCGATTCTCCTACCTTAGCTTCCCAAGTAGCTGGGATTACAGGCATGCGCCACCATACCTGGGTAATTTTGTATTTTTAGTATAGATGGGGCTTCACCATGTTGGCTAGGCTGGTCACCAAACTCCTGACCTCAGGTGGTCCACCCACCTTGGCCTCCCAGAGTGCTGGGATTATAGGTGTGAGCCACCACACCTGGCCAGTTTTACACTTTGGAAAGATAGGTATTAAGGGCAAATTAGTAAGGAGCATAGTGCTAACTAATGATCATGTTAGTAGTGGGAGGCAGAAGCTAAACATAATCAAAACTGATCTTGTTCATTGATGTTTAGGTTTAAATACTACATTTATAGTTTCAAAAATACTTTTATTGCTGCAATGACTACAGGAAAAAGAACTCTTGTCAATCTAAAACTATGTAAGTCCCAACCTTCTCTTTCATTAACAAAATTAATGCAAGTTATATTTACTACTTGATATTTTATTAAAAGTGGTTTTCTTGGGGATGCATCCGTTTAATCTGAATAGATTTGTAATGTAATTTGAAATTTGTAAAATTGTGATTTGTAATGACAGATATGAATTATCAATTGATTAAAAAAAAGTAGGACAATGTAGCATCTTAGTGTTTTAAGAGCTTAGTGTATTTTCTTATTAATATAAAGTTAGGAAGTAATCTTTAGTTAGCTAAAAAATTATCAAGTCTAGATGTGTGCATTTTACCACTTACATATTTTATGGTCCTTTAATAAAACTTTAGTTTTTAATAATCACTGTGCAAGCAGATAATCCCTCTGCATCCATGAACATTCCTTCAAAACAGTTCAAAAGTCAAGCTGTATCAAAATATATGAGTCAAGATTACCTCTCTAAGTGGCTTCATGAAAATTTTGTGCTTTTTTCAGAATGGTAGTCCTATGTAGTAATGTCTAGCATTCTTCGGGAAATTTATGTTTTTCTGAATCCTGAGAAAAATCACTTGCGAAATTGGGAACTTGAGGAAAAGTGTTATGGTTCCCTGAGAATTAAAGCTTAACAATCAACTATGGATGTTACTAGTTCAAAGGAATGCACTAATGTCAGCTGAAAGCAAGAGCAAGAAATTCTGACATGCCGAGTTACAGGTTAATGTTGACATTTCTGCGAACAGTACAGAAACATCTAGAAGTGGTACAATCTAATCAGTCTTGGGGGCATGTTATAAGTGTGCTTTTATGGCCCTCTCTTATTAATGGCGAGTCATTCTTGCAAATAAATGTTAATGTTTATATACCTACTATAATTTATAAATGTATAAAGTATGCTTTGTACAAATCCTATGCATGTTATTCCATGAAATAAGTTTTGGAAGCAAAAGAAGTCCTTAAATTGGCAATTTTAGCTTTTATTCTTTATAGGGCTCTTAACCTTATAGCGCCTTCAAATGTTACATTTTTATATTACCCAGTAATATTTTCTGGCTTTTCCCAGTATTTGAATATTCGCTTTAGGCTACACAGTAACAGAAGAAAATGCAAAGAAGAAAGATGTGACTATTATTGTGGAATATTCTTATATGAAAGCAGAAAATGATGTAACATCTGAATTAGTAAAAACATCATCACTTTCAACAGCAAACCCCAAATCAGGGTAACAAGAAAGTATTTTCAGCATGATAAAAGGATGAGTTAATATGGTATAACATGCTCCCTAATACTCTGAATTGCAAAGTCATTGCAAAATGAAAGAAGGTTTTCTTACATCTGGAATATTTGTCAACAATAAATATTGGATAGGGAAATTAATGCTTTGTGTGTTTTAAGATTCTATTTCAAGAATGATAATTTCAGTATTAAGTATTTGTAGAATTGTCTTTCAAAACTTAAAAAGTTTTCTTTTTTGACATTTATTTTGTGCTAGTGTGCCCTTCTTTTAATGTTTTCCAAGATGAAATGGCTATATCAAATAGAAATGATTTCACAATAATGTTATCATGTAATATAATCATGTATTTATGTTCTATCTTTTAAAACAAAGAAACTCCTAAAACTTTTAGTACCACCATATTACAGAAAAATTATTCATTCTTTGTTATATCACTCATTATATTTAAAATGCAAACTTATTAAAAATACAGAGTATGTTTTAGGGCAGGGGTATTCAATCTTTTGGTTTTCCTGGGCATATCAAATGGGAAGAAGAAGAATTGTATTGGGCCACAAATAAAATACACTAGCATTAATGATAGCTGATGAGCTCGAAAATAAAAAATTGTGAAGGAAGTTATAATGTTTTAAAGTTTATGAATTTGTGTTAGTCTGCATTCAAAGCAGTCCTGGGCCACATGTGGCCTTTGGCCGAGGATTGGACAATCTTGATTTAGAGAATTCTCAAGAATTGTAGTTTCTTGTTCCTGAATCTTGAGGTTAATCTGTTGAGTTTTTGAAAATGGTTTTGGGCCCATTTTGAATAACAGAGGTGTCACTGAAAATTATGTTAATGTTTTAGGCACTGTTGTGGACCCTTTCTCCTACATTATGTTTTTTAAAAACTGCACAGTAGTGCTGCGAAGAAAGTATTAAAATATCTATGCAGAGGAGAAACTGAGGCTGACAGACATGCTGACAGTCTTCCTAAGAATGGAAATGTGCATTGAACCCAGATCTTTTCTCACTTTGAAGCTTCAAGTTCACGTTCTTTCCACTGAACAGTGTGTCTCTTTAATCAAAACATATTATTCACTTAAATGTTGTATGAATGTGTGTTAGTTAAGCTATTATGTGAAAATATTTTGCTAGAATTAAATGCAAAAGAAGGGAAATAGATTTGTATCTTTTAGTACTAAAAATGATTTTATTTAAGATAAATAAAAACATAGATACACTTGAATACTTGCCGAATAATTACCAGGAATGTAATCATTCGAAAAATTAGCATTTTGGTTTGGAGTTTTGTATGTTGTTTTAAAGATCACAGTTTAATCTTTTTAAACCTAGTAGTAGTTTTAATCTAGAGATATCTGTCCAAATCAGTATGACTATTTACACTTACATTATTTAAAATGGAATAAAACTACAGGGAGGGTGCAGTGGCTAACACCTGTAATCCCAGCACTTTGGGAGGCTGAGGCTGGTGGATCATTTGAGGCCAAGAGTTTGAGACCAGCCAGGCCAATATGGCGAAACTTCATCACTACTAAAAATACAAAATTAGCCGGATGTGGCAGCGTGCACCTGTAATCCCAGCTACTCGGGAGGCTGAGGCAAAGAATCACTTGAACCTGGGAGGTGGAGGCTGCCAGTGAGCCAAAATTGCATCACTGCACTCTAGCCTGGGCCACAGAGTGAGACTCCATCTAAAATGAAACAAAACAAAACAAACTACAGTTCAGTTCTTCAGTTGCACAGGCAGCATTTTAAGTGCTCATTTATTACATAGGGCTTAGTGGCTACTATTATGCTGATACAGACGATTTTCATCTTTACATAAAATTTTATTGCACAACACTGATATAAAACATCAAAAGTCTAATGTGTAGAGTACAGGGATTTGGTTCTTTGATATTCCATGTAGAATATGTTGATTTGGGGATATATTTTATTATACCCTCTTTCTACCTCCATTCGTAGTTTTTTTCTTTTTCTAACTCTAAAGTGATACTATAAACATCTCCTTTACATCAGAAAAGTCAGCTTGCTTATTCTGAGAATTTATCATAATTTTGAAATAATTAGGAAAATATTTTAGTTTCACTAAACCAGAGCAAGTCTAATAAATCATTCATCTAAGTACCTAACTTCTTAAATGTTGAATTGAGTGTTTAATGAGGAATCTGTTAACTGCTATTGTGGCAGCATATTTTTAACTCAGTAAATATGCTCTGGGTTGCATTTTAAAATAAATCTCCTTTGGAATGAATATAACATTTAATGAATCTAAGTGGTTATCAGTGGTCACTGAGAAAGAAAAGGTTCTGTTCCAATTTTTGCAAAAGTGTTTTATCCTTCACATTAGGTAATTTGTCATAACTATGACTGTCTTGTACTAAAGTTCCAACTTTTTTTGATGTTGGGCCATAACCACTAGTGATACTTTACTAGTGATTATATTTTAAGTTAAACCCATGTATTAAGCTATAAAGTGACTTGAGTGAATAGTAAATAAAATGTTACAATAATGAAGTTATTTAATTGTAGTTCCTAGTATGAACATAGAACTCAGTAAAATTTTTACTTAAATTCTGTATTAAGTTTTTCCCACTAAAGTTGTTTGGATCTAAGTAAAAAAGAGGTGAGGGTTATCTTTTAAAGTCACTTGAACAAATTCCATGGCTGTTCTCCCAGTTAGTGAGTTTTCACTGCATTTGCAGCAAGCTAATTGCTTTTGCTAATAAATAATCTAAAATCGATGCTGACAGCAGTTAATTGGCACAGAGATTTTATTTTGTAAAGCTCTTGGCTAACGACCTTCTTTAAATTAATAGCATTAAGTGCTATGAGGAAATAAATCTGAGGAATTGCCTGTCATTTGCTTGTCATGTCTAATAACTTCCAATAATGATGGCTGATAGATTTTTGCACATTCCATTATTGAAGTTGGTGCATGTAATTATTCTCCTCATTATATGTAAACAATTAGCAATATTTGGTATTTCCTTGCAGTAAAGCTATTAAGTACAAGTAACAGAGGTTAGAAGCCGTTTTAAAATCTGGCTTTCAATTGTTTGAATGTAGGAAGTCTTTCATTCTATTTGGATATGTTAAGGGTATGTATTTTAAACCTCTTTGAATAGGACTTATGAAAATAAGTAGTATGTGTTTTAAAATGTGACAATTTATGGAAGTTTTTGTTTGTAGCTTGAAGAAGTCATGGAAAAAGAAACTTACAAGACGGCTAAATTAATTCTTGAAAGGTTTGATCCAGACTCAAAGAAAGCAAAGGTAAGACTGTGATATCATTACTATTTTATTATAAATTACACATTGTAATAGGTCACTGTAATAACATTATTATAATTGACAGGAGTGTGAGCCGCCATCTGCTGGAGCAGCTGTAACTGCAAGAACTGGACAAGGTAAATAACTTTGTAGAAACTGCTGCTGCTGTTGGAAAGATCCATATTTACCCAAGTGAGTTCAAAAGTGTGGTGGAGGTGTGCAAAAACTTATGTAGAGTGCTTTTATGTTAATTTATAGTTGGTAATTTGGAATATGACTTAGGGTGGATGGTGATAATTTTATTTCATTTTGATTTTATGGGAATATGTTAGGATATCACATCTGTTGAGATTAAATATAAAATTGTTTTTAATCTTTTAAAATGTAAGTAATTTCATCAATATTTTGTAAATATTTCCCACTTTCAGATAATAATAATCAGTTATTATTTAAATCCTTACCTTTTTATGTTTTATTTTTGAAAAATGTAATGGTTTCTGTGAAATTTGAAGTTTCTTTTAAAATAACACTTAAGAATAGAATAAAATAATTTAGAAATAAGAAAAATGAAAATTGAATTATTACTATATAATATTAATGATTTTTGAGGTTGTATTACCATATTATTAATGAGGTCATCACTATTACATCATTAAATGTAATATAAAATTTTAACAGTCATTAGATTGAGTGATTACATAAAATATTCCTAAGTCTGGCATGGGAAAAAATATTCTCAGTTTGCAACAACTTTCGTCTTTGTTATTTTCTCTAATAGTATAGCATGTAAGGGTTTTGTTGCAATATAGAATATGTTACTTTTAAAAATTTAACTTCAATTTTTACACCCCCCTCCACAAGAATTATAACCTGCTTTGTAAAGGTAGAATGACATTTAGATCCTTGAAAGGAAATCTTTTTATAAATATTCACAAAGATTATGGATATTAAAGAAGTCATAATAATTTTAGGTTTTCTGATTATCAGTGCTGTATGGGAAGAATCCCCTCTACTTCCACATCATCCATAAGTAGGATTTTGATTCATAGACATATTAACCTATTTTTATTTTGAAGCCTTCACTTTTGCGAAAAGTGAAAGTTCACATATGATTAAAATGAATTAGGCATATAGTTGCAATAAACTCCTACTTTCATAACCAGTTTAAATTTTTCTACAATGTAGATATGTCTTTCTAGCAAATACAAAAACATTTTTTGGTCTATAGACCAGATTTCTATAATTTCTAAAGCATTTGTATAACTGGTACTAATTTTTCAGGAACACACACACACACACACACACACACACACACACACACACATATATATAGAGAGAGAGAGAGACTTGCTCTGTCCCCCAGGCTGGAGTGCAGTGGCACAATATTGGTTCACTGCAACCTTGGCTTCCTGTGTTCAAGCAGTCCCCCGGCCTCAGACTCCCAAGTAGCTAGGATTACAAGCCTATGTCATCACACCTAACTAATTTTTGTATTTTTAGTAGAAATGGCATTTCACCATGTTGGCCAGGCTAGTCTCGAACTCCTGACCTCAGGTGATCTGCCCCCACTCAGCCTCCCAAAGTGCTGGGATTACAGGCATGAGCCACCATGCCCAGCCAAGAATATTTTTCAGTTACACTTGTAGAAGCAGAGAGTAGAAATATTATTTCTAGGAGTGGAAAGCAGGTATAAGAGAAATGGGGAAATATCAGTCAAAGGATACAAAATTTCAGTTATGTAGGTGAATAGCTTCAGGTGAATAACTATAGCATGGTGACAACACTAATACTGTATTGTATACTTGAAATTTGCTAAGAAAGTAGATCTTGTGTTCTCAGCGTGCACACACACACACACACACACACACACACACACACGGAGGTAACTGAGTTTTTGTGCTGATTCCAGATAGAGGAATCAACGTTCCTCTGGGAGGAACGTTGATTCTTGAGGGAAGAACATTCCAGATAGAGGAATCAGTAAGTGCAAAGACCCTGAATGAAGAACATGTCTGGAGTGCTGTGGAATAGCAGGGAGGCCTGTATGACTGGACTAGGGAGAGTAGGAAGAGTGGCAGCAAGAAAGTAACAAGGGATCATCTCATGTAAGGCTTTGTAGAATGTGGACCATTGTAAAAATTTGAGTTTGCAATTAGGATTTTTTGTTTAGAAGTTTCATTTTGAGCAGAGAATTGACATGGTCTCCATTATGTCTTCAAGGCTACTGTATTGAGAAGAGGCTGCAGAGGGAGCAAAGGTGAAAGCAGGAAGACTAATTAGGAAGCTACTGTAGTAATACAGGAAAGCGTTTGATGATAGCTTAGACCAGGAGTACCTAACCCCTAGGCTACATTGGAAGAAGAATTGTCTTGGGTTACATATAAAATACACTAACACTAATGATAGCTGATGCTAAAAAAAAAAAAAAAAAAATCTCATAATGTTTAAGAAAATTTACAAATTTGTGTTTGGTTACATTCAAAGCCATCCTGGGCCACAAGCAGCCCATGGGCTGTGAGTTGGACAAGCTTGGTTTAGACCTTGGATAGTAATATCGGAAGTGGTTTTTAAAAATAATTAACTTGGCCAGGCATGGTGGCTCACGCGTGTAATCTCAGCACCTTGGGAGGCCGAGGTGGGTGGATCACCTGAGGTCAGGAGTTTGAAACCAGCCTAGCCAACATGGTGAAACCCCATCTCTACTAAAAATACAATTAGCCAAGTGTGGTGTTGGGTACCTGTAATTCCAGCTACTTGGGAGGCTGGGGCAGGAGAATTGCTTGAACTGGGGAGGTGGAGTTTTTAGTGAGCCAAGATTGTGCCACCACACTCCAACCTGGGCAACAGCGTGAGACTCCATCTCAAAAACAAACTAATTTATTTATTTATTTTTAATTTAATTTTCTCTTTCTGTATACCCCAGCTTAAGGTGGTTTACGAAATGGTCAGATTTTGTATATATTTTAAAAATAGAACTCAAAAGATTTCTTGATGCATTGAATATGGAGTCAGAGGAGGAGGAGTCAAGGATGACCTTAAAGATTTTGGCCTGAGTAACTGGAAAGATGGAGTTGCCATTTACTGAGATGGTGGAAACTGCAAAAGAAATACTTTCTAGAGAGGTTCTGAGGTGGAGTAGTGAAGAACAAGGTTGATTTTAGACATGTGTTTGAGATACCTATTAGACAGACATCCAACTTGAAATTTCAAGAAAGCAGTTGAATATGAGTCTGGCAAACAGGAGTTTTCTGGGCTGGAGATACAAGTTTTTGTGTTATTAGCATGTGGATGGCATTAAAACAGTGAGCATGTATTGAAAATTAAAGTAGAAATTACAGATTTTTAAAATCTTTATACCAAATGGAGCAATACTTTATATTTTGCTGTTTTTTGGGGATGTGTTTGATTAAGAGAATCTGAAAAATGCCTTATAAAATAATAAATTTACCTTAATAAATTTGCCTTATAAGAAATTTGGTTGTTCTTTATGTAAGTATCTACTTTATACTGTTAAAATTATTTAGTATATAAACAAACCATCCTAAAATTTAGTGATTTAAAATAGAATTTTTTTTTTTTTTTTTTTTGCTCATGAAATTTGCAATTTGGCTAGGGTTTGGTGGAGACAGCTCATCTGTGTCTCACATCAGTTGGAGCTACTTTATTGAGCTAGAGAATCTATCAAGGTAGTTTACATGCTGACAAGTTGGTGCTGTCTATTGGTTCCTCTCCATGCGGACTTCTCTCTGGGGTCACTTGAGCTTACTCCTCCATGATGGTGGTTTCCAAGACCAAGGAGTATAGCAGACAGAAAGTCCTGGATTCTGGCACAACTTTGTTCTGTTGGTATATAGATGTCCTCCACTCCCATTTGTTGAAAGGAGAATCAAAGAATTTTGGACTCTTATTTTAAAACTGCCACATGTGCCTTAATATAGATAATAAAAACATTTCTATCCCAATCCAGTTTTCATTGTTTATCTCAAATGTCACCATCACTGTAAATGCTTTCTTCATCCCATCTAGATGACTAAGTTGTCAGTCCTCACTTCTTGTGAAGTCCTTACTTCACTCTATAGTACTTTGTTGGCTTCCATTATCTGGCATTTAGCTTGCATTAAAATATTTAGTGAGTTTGTTTTTCTTGTCTTAAAGATAGCTTGCTACCTCTGTATGCAATTCTGAACCCCCTTCAATGTGCTTATCCTGGTGTTATGCTCTTAGCGGTTTCTTAATAAATGTGTTGAGTTGAAAAAAATGAAAGTAAACATTTATATTGGCATTCCTGTATTCAGTTTACATGTTATAAAATAGTAATTTACCAAATAGGACCTTGGTGAACTGCAAGGTTCATGTTGTTTAATGTTGAGATTGTTGGAAGTTAGATCAGAAATAAATTATTAAGGTGATAAAAGAAAGTAAATTTAAAGCAAAAAGTAACTATAAAGCAAAATGTATTTTTAATTTGAAAAACAGAACAATAAAAGAAACTCAACTAAAGGCTGGCAAGTGGCATATATTATTATTAATAACAAACTTTCTGCTTAAAGATAGCTTTTTTATATGGTCTCCTGAAGTTAAGCTGAGATTCTAAACACAGCAGACTGATTAGCAATCTTAATTCCATCTGCAATCTTTATTTGCCTTGCGTGTAACATTTACAGAATGGACATGAAGATGGGGACATTTTTTGGGAGGCCATTATTCTGTTTATCACACCAAATAAATTGGGTAATAGGCAGTTGGAAATTTAACATTGAAATGCAATAGGAAAGTAGATTAACTTCATAGGTGTTTGTTAAACTCATACTCAGTACCCGTTACCTTGCCCACATCATGTGGCTGCAAAGATGCAGTTTCTGCTTATTAACTTTTGATTAAAAGGTCTATACACATGTAAATAAATGGTATGCTGAGGACCAAAATGAAGGTAGGCATGAATTACAATGCATTGTACCTTTTAACTTTTAATAATAATTTGCTGTAAGAATAGGGTTGAGAAAGTGCTCTTTCAGGTAAAGGATTTACTCCATGTGCAAAGACCGGAAGAGAGAAACCACTTGGTACCTTGAGGCACTGCAAATAGTGCCATATCCCTGAAAAAAGAAGGAAGGGTTCTTATGAAGGAGGGATCAAA